AATAATATCAGGAAATTAGACCAAATGCCAATAAATGCAAATAAATTTTGCAAAAATAACAATAATAGAATATTGCACCAATTAGAAGTAGAAAATAAAATATTAAATGCAATATTTTATATATAAACATCAAATACACAAACACCAAAAGCTAATATATTCAAGTTATGTACAGGATGTCCCATTTTAATAGGCTTTGACAGGCAAAAATCTTGAAAAATATGAAAGATACTAAGAAACGTTTCAGACAAAAGTAGTATGATTTTAAGGGGGACATAAAACAGCTATATCATTTTGTTTATAGATGGTGACACTTTCGAGATATTCATTAATCATTACTTTTCTTAAATCCAAATTTTTTATTATATCATCCTTTTTTATCAATTAATTTGAACAACTTTTGTCTGAAACATTTTTTTATTTGCCTAATATTTTTTGAGATATTTAAAGAAAATTTGATAATTTTTTCAACATTTAACTTATATCTTGCTATTTGTCGAAAAAAGGTGGTACTAGATTTTTCACTCTATTTGGACTTAAGAATATACTGTTACAATATTGCCTTTTTGTTAACTTTTGTTAACTTGATTTTGAAATTTCCAAAGATCATTCCAAAAGATATTGATCTCATCCACCCTACTATATTCTACAGACATTCTACATCCCCTATAACATTTGCTGCAGTTACAAATGTTAGCAACAAATTTTGTTAGTCGAAAAGCCGTAAATATGAAACATACTTTGTTGTTGCCAATTCTTTTAGCATACTTCCATCAATATGCAACAACCTCTGTCGATAAAAATATATGACAAAGTAACGACTAATAGTAAACAAACATCGAATATATTGATAACAGATTGACGACAAAAATCTAAAAGATCTGTCTTCATTAAAATCTCTTACCCATGAGTAGTACGCGGCACCGTAGATAGATCGACGCGAAGTTTACTTCTCATAAATAAAAAAACTACTACAATGAAATAAAAGACACTATAATATGAGATTTTTTATTCATATTCTAATGAAATGAAGGCTGAAGCTTGAGAATGTACGGTTTCGAAGGCAAGAGGCTTACGATTAAGAAGGCAAAAGTTGAAGTAGAGTTAGAAGTTTAAAGTCTAGAGTTTAAGAGGGGAGAAGGTAACATGCGAAGTGCGTATACCTGATTCTCGTCTTACATTCTTCGAGTTTTCGTAGATTTATTTCCTTTTATATTCGAATTCTATCACAACAAAATATCGTATATTTCATGGTTTTGGAAGGTTAGGACATTCCGTAAAAAAGATCATTATGTATTATCATTATGTCATTCTTACAACACATGCATTCTTATTTACTCGATTCTTTCGCATTTTTACATATGTTCTCTTTATGTTTATGGAAAATTAATTGCACCATGTGATTTTGCAGCCTACAAACTAATACAAAATAAAAAGACATACAAATTTCATTTGCCGACTGGGAGCAAAAATTGACGACTTTTACACATTCTCCTTTGTTATATTTACATATAAGTTACTATATATAGGATGTTTGATAATTCATATAGTCATAGCCAGTGGAAGCGTAGAACTGATTAAGACAAATATAAAAGTCCCGTATCGCTTTGCGATATTCGCAATAATTATCGAGTTGTTAATTATAGAAATCTGACGAGTGAGCGCGCGCTGTGATGGATGGTTGGAAGAGCATTATAACTATTTGGACAATAGTCGATCTTTTACCGACAATAGTTGAACTTTTACCGATGTATGGCGAGGAGAAGGACTACTTTCTTCCATCTTTTAAACTTCATTATTCCGTCTTCAAAGAACTTTCTATTTTTTTCAGAGAAAAATTCCTTCAGATAGATTTTACAGACTTCGAGATTGTTGATTTTAATTTCATTATTCTGCAAGCTTTGCAATATAATTATCAAGATATTAATTATAAAAATCAAACAAATGAAAGCGTGCGTCGTACGGCAGGCAAGGAGCACTTGAGCTGCTCAAACTATGGCGTAGCCCAATTGATTGATTGAAACACCAGTTGCCGACGCGCGATAAGAGGAAGAACAACGCGCCACTACTTGTGCTTATGTCGTCGCTTATATGTCTTATATGCCACATCGCGCCAACACTCGTGTCGGTGGTTATAACACACTTGCGATTACAATTACGAGATTATTTTATGGGACAACAAAAATAGCTCAAATTGAAATCGTAAAGAGCTTCTGTGACAAAAAAGAAATAGAAAAAGAAAAAGCGACAAAAATCGATAGAATCGATACAGGATGAAATTTCATTGTTTTATGTTGTAATTTATCATTTTATTATATCGATTTCGAAGGAAACGATATCGTTTTCTATTGTATTCTGTCGTTATCTTACTTTATTGTTAGGTATCGTACTCTGTTAGGAGAATATTTAGTCGTTGAAGAATAATAGAATTTTTATACAGACTTATCATTTTGAAGTTTAAATGTTGAAATTTGAATAATTTCCTTAATCACCAAATGCTATGATTTATTGCGCGCTTAATAATTCACTCAAGGACAATATACTTAGCACATTATAAAAAGCGAAGCTTCAATCCTAATTCAATAGAAAAGTTAAATTATTTATTAAAAGGAAACTGATCAATTTATTCAATCTTTCATTACTTTTGTATAAGGCGAATGCTCAGTTTACATTCTTTTTTTAATTGTATAAATGTGGCATAAACGTTGACTGAAACTTTCTGATTTTTTATATATATACTTTTAGATTATACTTAAATAGTTGTTGTCTCATTTCATTCTGATTTCCAATTTCTTTAATATATTTTTTGTTAAGAGATTTTGAAAGCGTTAACACACGATACTAAGCACTGCGTTCATTATGATAGCAAATATAACATTTGGTGCGATTCACGTTGTTGACGAACCTAAGCTTTATTGTAGCAAATTGATAAACCGATCGATTTTTCTCATCTTTTTATTCTTACAATATTATATTGATGTATTGTACCCAATAGATAAGCACCCTACTATTTCAATTTTACAGTAAATAATTTTTTATTTTACCTAAAATAATACTGAATAATATTTCTGCGTGTGTATAATATTTGAGAATGAAGCCCAACGTGTAATATAACCTATATTGTAATATAACTTATAATATTTAGTACGCTTTGAATAAACAACTATAAATAGATAGAAATCATATAAGTTTTCCAAATTTTTAGTACAATAGTATGCTAATATTATAAGAGTATAATAATGGAAGAAATATATCTAATATAGTATTAATCATGAGAAATGTCAAACAGATCAGTCAGATGGAGAACTTCAACGAAAATGATGATAACTGATCTAACATTGAGTCTTAATTATTAGAATATGAAGCAAATAGATATCTGAAATTGCATCTAATAACGAAGATAATATAAGAAAGATGATTTTTGTGGAAAAAGACATAAAATAACAATTTGAATTTTCAGTAAAATTAATAATCAAACGTGCGTTATTAATTAATAGGCGACATTCATCCAAGAATATTATTTTACCGGGCATCATAAAGTTGGCAAGAAACTGTTCAACACATCTAGAAATATGTTGAAATATGTTCTTTACAACAAACTTGTGATGTTGATTGCAGAATATACAGGGTGTCCCATTTTAATGTCTCACCCCAAATAACTCTTCAGTATTGAAATTTTAAGGAAAATGATCTGAATAAAAGTTGTAGGGATTTAAGTGAGCTACCTTATGATGACCTTAACTTTGACCTTGACCTCTATTTTCAAGGTTATTTGAAGGTCAACTTGCGTTTTTTAAATGGGAACCTTTATTTTCTATTTCACTGTTTTTTTCTACTAGTTAATTTGAACAACTTTTGTCTAAAACATTTTTTTATTTGTCTAATATTTTTTGAGATATTTGAGGAAAACTTGATTACTTTTTCAATGTTTAACTTATGATATCTCGCTAACTATTTCGTCGGAAGAAAAAGTGGTACTAGACTTTCTTGCTTTATTTAGTCTCAAGAATATATTGTTACAATAGCTCCTTGACTTCTGTTAACTTACTGATTTTTGGAAATTTCAAAATCATCAAATTAACAAAAATATTCTTATATATTTTCCTTCCAACGCTGCAATCTGAAAATATGAAATATACAGTATGAAACAATATATTCTTGTTATGGATAAATGAATATATATAAATATATATAATAATAAAAGATATTTTTTGTAGAATATTGTATGTTGCTTGATAGTGAATCGGTTGTCCTTCTGTTCAATAGTAATGCCTCACTGCAACTATCTGTAAATGTCAAATCAAATGCAGCTACCTGTAAATGTCAAATATGCAATATGAAGTAATGTATTATTGTTATAACATTCATCCATATTATTTTTAAAACTTAAAAATTTTAACAATCGCGGGTAGTAACAAATATAGTATTATAAATTAGTAGGATAATTGTTCCCTGCCTGCCTTCTGTATCCGGCCCGTGGACTATTTATTTTAATAACTCAGTAACTAATGCTCGGATAATATTTTGCAAAAGGAAAAATAGTCTTAGAATTTGCTCAAGAATATGGCATATTAAAGACAACTGATTGTTTCGAATCACCCTGTATACAAAGCAGTTTTACATATTTTGTTTATCGTACAAACCAGGTGTATTTACTTGTGCAGCAATGTAGCTTTACGACATGATAATTTTTTTAACTGTTAGATGTCAAAGGAAGTCTTCCAAATATTGCAGAATGTTTATTTTTTTCATTCTTGCTATTTTTAAAATTTTCATCTCATCTAAGTAATTCTTACAGAAAGTTTAAATTATTTTTCACCGGTAATTGTTCCACGAATTATATTAAATTCGTCGTGATTATTTTGTGTTACATGAATTTACAAACTTCTATTACGAAGTTACATATTGTTTAAGGGTTTAAAAAGTCATCATTTATTAATAAATTTTCGCTTAAATAAAAATTTTTTTTTCGTCTAATTTATTCATACATAAATTTTCAGACTCAATAATATGGTGGACGTCCTATCTACGCGCCTTCAAGAGGTTTATGCTAAATGGGAGACTAGGACAGAAATGATACGAAATGCGAATCCGACGACTGCACAATTTTCACTAGATGGTAACGAAGATATTTTTTCTTTAATTGTTACATTATTTCTGTCATAGGACGTTTATTGAAGAATCGTTTTGTGGGTGACAACCATTAACACGTTGTCATAATTTGACTATATTTATAGAACATGTTTTAAGTATGCAATGTACATTTTAGTAAAAAGCATATTTCTATTTTATATAATCTTCTAAAAATATAATGTATCATATCTATAATATACAGTCTGTAAAGTGAGAGCATGCACGGGTTAATGTGTAGAAAAATTTATTTTTCTTTTTCTTTTAATGATTTTTAAGTACATGGATTTGTTGTACTCCATGAGAAGAAAAATGCTATACCATTAATAATGAGTCCAGTCACCACCGGCATTCATAATTGCCTGGCATCTCCGAGGCATACTTTCCACTAAGTTGACTGTGTATTCGTTCGGTAAAGACCTCCAAATGAGACGAATTTGTCGTGTCAGCTGCTTCAAAGTGCACACTCTTTTTCTTCGAAGCTTGTGCTTGAGATATGCCCACACATTTTCAATGGGATTTGCATCTAGCGACTGCGATGGCCAATCAAGTGTGACGATGCCAGATTGCTCTTTCCACTCGGTGCAAAGCTTGCTCCGATGTTTTGGATCGTTGTCTTCCTGTAAGATCCAGTCCTCGTTTTTTTTTTATGAAGCATCGGCAACAAACACTTCTCATAAATTTTAAGCATTAAGGTCGGGTTCCGCTTAAACAAATTCACAATTTTTTTTTCCATATTCAGCGTCACTTTGTCTATCGAGCCACGTTCTGGCAAGTCATCGACATTTTTTATCTTCTTATATTGCTGAACCCACTTAGCGACGAACGATTTTGACTTTCCCATGTATTTAGCAGCCACTGCATATGACATTTTTGGTCCTTTGGGGTGGGAACAAAGGAACACAGCCTCGTAGCGCGATGCGTATGCGGCATTCATGGCGCATGGTTAACGTGTTTCTCAGGTTAGAGTTCGACGCCAACTGAATCTTTTGTGACAAAGCATTCACGACAAAGATTTCATCTATCGGCTTACAAAAAATTAGGACGATATTTGAAGCCAACTGCCATTTATGCCGTGCATGCTCTTACTTTACAGACTGTAATTAACAAAGAAGGTTTGATAACTCGTATATTTAAAAAAAATCAAAATCTTTATAGAAAAAAATATATGTAAAGGGTTTAGCGGAATAAGAATGTGAAAGTTTAAGGGGGAAAACTTCTCTGTAGGCCAAAAAATAGGCTGTTTTCACGAATTTCTTTTTTCCGAAACTAAGCGGACGATTGATTTCAAACTTGATAGAAATAATAATATATATTTAACTTATAAGAATGAATTTATATAATGTTATATAAATAATAATGTAGCAAATACACAAAAAATAACGTGACGTGTTTAGCCGCGCACCGTTTCACAGCTCCTATGAATTTGAAATCTCGAGATATGGTGGACTGGAACAAAAACGCAAGTAAGATAATTAATCTACGAGCTTGCCGCTATTGTCTGAACTAGGGAAATAAAAAACGAACTGCTTTTTCAATAATTTTAAGGCATTTAAAAGTTATTTGAAAAATCGCCATAAAAATCGACAGTTTTACGTTAAAAATAAATATAAAAAATTAATATTTCGCTAATTTATACGATAGAGACATATTTCGAGTATGTAACTACATGTTGAAGTCGATCGGTTCATTAGTTTGTCTTAAATCGTGGGAGCCAGTTAAAGCAAAGTCGTTTCGGAAAACACATGTTTAAAGTTTCAGATACTATTCAAACATATATTTCTCATATTATCATCATATCATCATCATATCATATCATATTATCATCATATCATATCATATATTAGTATTCATGTAAGTTTCAGTCTAATCGGCAATTCCAGGTCCATATAATTAATTCTCCTCGACTTCATGGAACGCTTTTTTACATTCCTAAGGTTCGTAGGATTGTTCCTACATCAATTGTATGACGATATCTTGCAAACAATTATAGACAGCAAAGTGAGTAAAATAATAAATAAAAAGTAATTCGTAGTAGAATATTTTGCTAAGTATCTATATGGTACGTTGGTGTTAAAAAAAATAATTTTCAGAATTAGTTTTTTCATGAACCCTTCTAATGACTACCTTGTCAAAAATCGAAAACAAAGCTTATTATAGTATTTACATTATATAAATGCTTAGTTGATTGATTTAACATAATATGTTAAAAAAAATAAAATCAATAATTTACTATTCTGACTTATCTAAATAAATTATTTAATTATTTATTTTTTCCTGAGCAAAGTATATAATGCAAAATAATACAGAAACAAACCATTGAATAAGAAAAATGAATAATAATTGTATATAACAAATTATAATAATTATATTATGAAAAGAAAGTGTATATAACTTTATATAAATAACGTAATTAAGAATATATATACAAAAATTAAACATCTCTTTTTGTTTCATTTTTATCATTATTATTATTTATAATCTACGGTAAGATACCTTTAAATAGCTAATTATTATTATTATTTATAATCTATATCTATATAATATCTATACAATATATAATCATTATTATTATTTATAATCTACGGTAAGATACCTTTAAATAGCTAATGTGTCAAATTATCTTTAAAGTTAACTTTACCATTCTTATCCTGCTAGTTTCTTTGTGTATATTATCTCTCTGCGAAGATTTAAGTTTTTCAGAATATGAGTTATCAAACCGTCTTTGTTAATTACACTTAATGCAAAATATCTTACAAGGAACATCCGCGAAGTATGTATCTCCAATTTCGACGAAATTTGGCATATTTGTAGAATAGCTAAAAATAAAAAACCCGTATTTTTTAAATAAATAATATGAATGAATTTGAATAAATATATAATAAAGTAGAATATAATGAAATAAATGAATAAATATGAGGCATAAGAGATCAAGATATCTATATCTATATCTTATCAAGTTATGTCAGAATATCATTATATATTTCGCTCGGATATTGACGGATAATAATCTTTTGAAAGACCAACTTCCTAATCTGAAAAAAAACTGACGTGATAGGTCAATTTTGAATACCGATTCATTGTTAAATTCAGTAAATGTAATTGCCTGAGGTAATATCCTCCTTCACTGGTACAATTTCAATCCGTCATATTGCGTCATATTCCGCCATCTTGAATTTTGTAATTTTATCTCCAGATTCGTAATTAGAAGCCCTAAAAACCTCCAAATACTAAAATTGATTTGAATCAACCACCTTTTTATAATTTCGGCCCGCCATATTGGGTCCGTCATCTTGAATTTTGTAATTTTATCTCCAGATTCGTAATCAGCGACCCTAGAAACCCCTTACTGACTAGTACAGTGGAAAATAAGTTCGACGGAAATCACATGTAATATGTACAAAGGGTTGAAATAGTGCTTTCAATATTCAGGGATCAAGGGGTGATTCCACCCTTAAAATGTGTTGTTAGCCGGTATAAAAAAACACGTGTTCGATATTTTTCAATGTTCTACGTGCATGCCAAATTTCATTGGAATCGGTGAGTGACAGTTGGGTAGTGTTACTTGTTAGAGAGGTTTGAACGAAATTACTTAGAGAGGCCTGCGACCTCGCAAATTAAAGCTTGAAACTAGCATTTTTTGCAATTTTTTTTTTTTTTTTGGAAAAAAAGTTGCAAGCAATTGAAAGCGAAGATAATTTTAAAGTTTCAAATAAGATCATATGTCCAATATGAGATCACACACACACGCATACGCACACGCGCGCGTATCGAAATAGTTTATCTTTTAATATAATTAACAATAAAAGTTCAAAAATGTTACATTAATGCTATATAAAATTAGTACCAAAAATTCTAAACTGGGTACTAAAGTAGCTTATTTAACCTTTTGCACTCCGCGCGTTTTCTTACCACTGCCTACTAACAGCTCCGGCAGCACTTTTGCAGTGGAGCGTCACAGTATGATCTTTGAAAACAGTCTCCCATATGCATTCTGGGTTTACTTGGGCAAATGTCACAATAATCACTTGTTTGACGTCTCCCACTCTTTTCCTTTCTTTTGGAACATACAACACAGTTCCTCTTTTCATCTCTCCCCATTATGTAAAGTTTTCCGTTCAACTTGGTTTCAAAAATTGAAATAGAAGTTCTTGTTCTGTCCTGCCGAAAATCTACGAGTTGATCGACTAAAAGTTTTCAATATTTTAAATGCGTCAGTGGTTTCTCATTTTTGTTGTGCTGTACAATTTTATAGAGAATGTATGAATTGATAATACATATTTCCATTCCCTAAAAAAAACAGCTTCCGCCACCACTTAAGTGATTTCCTCAAAAACCAATAACTGGAAGTATATTGATGTTAATATAGAATGTCTCCACAACGGAGCTAACGGAGTGTTAAGGGTTAATGATTGAATATTTAATCCATAAAAGTGCAAGGTGTTAGCATAGTTCAAACAAATTCTTTTTACGTAATTTTTAGCTAAATATGAAATATGTCAACAGGTCTCCGTAGAGCAGGGACACAGTTACAGACAAGAAAAATGCAGGAAAAGGACTGGAGGCGAACTATACGCAAAGAGCAGCTATATTGTTATTCGATTAAAAATTCTATTCCGCGTCCACTCTTTATGAAGCGAAATCCCCCATTTGTACGCTACTGCTGTCACACCTGTACACCCGATTCTAAAGTAAGTTTTTTTCTGTCTATGCTATCAGATTTACTTTCGGTAATTGACATTTCACCAGTTTAATTCCTTAGCTATTAATGATGGAAATATCCGTGCATTTCCCTCCTCTCGAAAAAACTTATTAAACGGAACAATTGGAACAAGATACTTTTTTTTGGTCAATAAATTCAAATCTGAGATTAAAATCGCGAAATTCAAAATGACGGATCTAATATGGCGAGCCGGAAATTAAAAAAATCATCCGACTTGCATAAAAGTTAGCATTCAAAGCTTTTTGAAGCTGCTGATTTTGAATTCAAAATAAAAATTCATGAGTTCAAAATAACAGTTTCGAAAAACCCTCAATAAAAGTTTGTATGAAAATCGAACGAGTCTTTGGATATTTGATCTGTTATATTGAATTCATCATTTTGAATTTCGAAATTTAGATCTTAAATATAAACTTAGTGATCCAACAAATTCCCATAAAATATTTTGTTTATGATTTAATTACCTATATTATCATAATCAATTTGGGCACACAAATATTTTTATCGCCCAGCAGCTAAGAAATTAATGACGAATTACGCACAAAATCTACGATTGAATCGATAATTTTTCAATGTTCCTCTGTTTATTGTCAATTTAGTATATCGTGTTATTTTGCATATAGACATATATTAAGAGAAACATAATACGATGATGCGTCACGCCCCAAATATACGTGAAACGACATACGAGCTGCGAGATTCGTTTTACATTACATTCGTTTTACATACATAAACAATACATTTAATTAAGTGCAGGCAAGATTATCATAGTTATAATAGCTGAATCGATAAAATTCTAATTAGGCTTATTCTTTTAATTTTTGATTTTAATATCTTTTCGAGAGATACACAATATCTTATGCAGTGTCTCACAACTCAGTATAAGGAATGCGTAGAAATACAGAACAGATTAAGGGGATGCTAAACCTGCCGTTTTCATAGAAACCGCTTTATTCTTTTTTGGTTGTACATAATTACAAAGTGTGCTTTTACAGTGTGCAAATACAAATATTAATGAATGGCGCATGACTAAAATTTGCATAAAAAACAATAAAAATTTTTTATGCAAATTTTTTTATGCAAATATCGTTGCTTCATATGTATACTTGATATCAAAAGTTACGAATTCTTATATATAAATTGAAAGTTATACGCCATGCAGTAGACTTTCCTGAATATTATAAGGGCATCCAAACATAATTTTAAATTTATAAAATAAAGTGTAGTTTACGATTTTGTTATACGTATGTTAAATTTATACAATACTATCGGTAAAAATGTGAAGAAATTAGTTCATTAATTCAAATTAGCCTATTTCGGCAGAAGGCACAAACTCTGGAACGCGCTGACACATATATTAACAGAAAAATAAACTCGGTATATTTATCAGGTTAGGAAATCTGTTATCTGAAGTGACTTTTTGAATGAATAGTAATTCAATTGATAAAATGACAGGCAGCGAGATCTATGCAGCTGAGGAAAGGTAAGAGCTGAGTGATAGTATCTTGCATGGAGAAAAGAAAATATGTAATGTATGCTTTTAATAATATATAGTGTCCAATTTTAAAGTTTACAGTACTATATTTCGCAAACCGATGATTTTATTGAAAAATGTTTCAAACAAAAGTTGTAGGATTCAGAAAGGGACATCTGACGGTGACCTTGGCTTGACCTTGGATTATCGTTTGAAAGTTACGTAAAGGTCAACTTTAAAATCCTAAATGAAATTCCATATTTTTTATTGCATATTCTTGTAACCCTTGTCGTGTGCGTGTGTGTGGGACTCATTCATCATAGATGTTCAAAAACGCCGCCATCGGCAGCTCGGCACACTCGAATTCGCTTTTCGAAACTTTCGACAAGTTTCAAAAGAACGTTTGCTAGAATCGTTCGGCACGCACTTCTGATGCGATCCATCATATCCTGCCGCGTCGTTGGCGGTTGACGGAACACTACGTCTTTCAAAAATCCTCACAAATAAAAATCCAAAGGAGTCTTGGTGACCACCAAACTGGACCATCCCGACCTATCCATCGATGAGGGAAAGTGGCATCGAGGTGGTTCTTCACAACCCGAGCACTGTGAGCCGGTGCCCCATCTTGCTGGAACCACATTCTTGCTCGCATAGCCAAGGGAACATCTTGCAGAAGCATCGGCAATCTATTCTGCAAGAAATCGAGGTATCTTCCAGCATTTACTATTCCCTCAAAAAAGTGTAGACCTATGAGCATTCCATCAACAATCCCGCACCACACATTCAAACTCCACCGATGATGATGATGATGATCGATCTGCCGAATCCACCGTGGATTTTCAACAGACCAGTAGCGACTATTCTATTGGTTCAGCTCTCGGCTGTTGAGCGTTGCCTCATTACTGAATAGGACATATCTGAAAAAATCCGGGTCAAGCTCAAAGCCCATTGACAAAATTCGACACGGCGTAACCTATCTGGTTCTGTCAGACTTACAAGACAGATGCAACGATATCCGGTAGGGATGATACTTCATCGCTTTCAAAATCCAATGTGCGATTGACCGTGCAACTCCCAAATAACGTTCCATTTCCCGAAGACTTACTTCGGAATTAAGATTAATCATCGCAAGAACAGCAATGTTCCGTGTGTCAAAGTGACCAGCAACATCTTCATTGACGTTCCGGTAACGTTTCTTACGCACTAGCTGTCCACGTCGAACCCTTCTTTCTATCTTCAAAATAGTCATCGTCGATGGGTATCGACGTTGAGGAAATCGGCAACGATAAAGCAACGCAGCTCTGTGATAATTTCGTTCACATTCTCCTAAAGCAAGAAGAATATCAACAACTTCGTTTGAGATAAAATCGGGCATGACGTAGTCCAAATCTTTTGTCCCACAAAAATAAAATGTGCAGGCTTGCATTCCACACGACAAGGATGTGGTATTCTGCACGATAACTTTACTGACAGGGAAAGTGGCATCGACGTGATTCCCGAAGGAAAGTGAACTATGATATACAAATCCGACCGAGCAATCTCCCCGCGGTGTAATCGATCGGGTAATATATCGGGTAATGCGAATATCGGCGGTATGTCAACTTTGAAGCTTCATATCTTGGGAATGGCTTACGCAAAAGACAAAAGTAGGTAGTGTTTTGAAAACAACTCGACAAGGGCTGCAAACGTCTCGACAAGAATATGCAATAAAAAATGGGGAGTTCCATTTAGGATTTTAAAGTTGACTTATACGTGACCTTCAAACAATAATCCAAGGTCACCGTAAGATGTCCTTTTCTAAACCCTACAACTTTTGTTTGAAATATTTTTTAATAAGATCATTTGAACATTCATCGTATAGAACGGACAAAACATATCATTTCTAGAGGATTTTGACCCGCTGGACACGATGCTGTCGTTAGTTTTTATCTAAAATTCGGGGGACATATTCTAATTCCAGGATCTATCATTCAATAATCGAATGGCCCGGGAACCTTCGCGTACACTTTGAAGCTATTGCAAACTCGTGTATTAGTTAAATTAGTTGAAGACAATTTAAATTTTCGATTTAATAAAATTTAATAAAGTTATTTTTGATTTAATAGTTGAAGGTGTTCTCTTTTTATGCAAAATTTACTGTAATAAATAATATACACGGTGTCACAGACCACCCCTACCACCCTATTTTTTTGTAAACGCGACATTTTAGAGAAAAATGTTTTAGACGAAAGTTGTATGGTTTCAAAGGGGGCATATAACAATTATCAATTTGTTTATACAGGGTAATTTGAAACAATCAGTTGTCCTTAATATGCTAGTTCATCCATTACGGCCGGGTACTGAAGGCAACCAGGGACGGAACAATTAATACCCTTTATATATATATATATATATATATATATATATATATGTATATAATATATATTTGCTATTACACCCGCGATTGTTAAAATTTTTAAATTTTAAAAATAGTATGGATGAATGTTGTCATATGCGTCGATTAGCACATCGCACCAAGCGCTCAACGTCAGCGCCTAGCGGCGCGCGTCTCAACGGTCAATTGTTCCATCTCTGCCTGCCTTCTGTATCCGGTAATCCGTAATAGACGAAATATTTATTTTAATAGTAACTAAGCATCGAATAACATTTTGCAAGAGGAAAAATAGTCTTAGAATTTGCTCAAGAATACAGCATATTAAAGACAACTGATTGTTTCGAATCAACCTGTAAATGGCGCCACTTTCGAGATATTCACTGATCATTACTTTTCTTAACCCTTATGTCTCTACTCTACTTTTCTTAACCCTTATGTCAATACTCGGCTACCCGGGTGCTCACTTAAGCACATATTGGAAAAATTCTTAACATTATTTTGAAAATTTCTCTATTGGCCGTCCGGATCGTCGTAATTTGATCCTTTTACTATCAATATATGCATTGACCTTTTCTTTTTAAGGCCCGGAAGTGGAAAAATTATCATCTTTAAGTTCACCTACTTGATTTTAATAACCGGGGTATCCGGGTGCTCACTTGTTAGAATATAAGTTTTATCTCCAGTTACTGAATAAATTGATTAATAAATAATTAATATGATTACAGAAATGATTTAATAATTAAAACAATTGTTTTTTAAATTAAAAATATAAAAATTATTTATTTATCACATTCTTTACATTTGGTAATAGTGACAGCATGCTCATCGTAAACAGGTTTTCCGCATTCTACACAGGATATTCTTAATACTATATGTAGTTTTTAGACTTTCGCGGTCATTGATATAATCAGGGTATGTTTCTTCCGGATGGATATCGCGTCGTAATTCAGCTTTGTGCTGACGTTTCGCAAACATTACAGCTTGCATCATCAGGGCTAGGAGCTCCAATACTGTATTACAAAGCTGAATTACGACGCGGTATCCATCCGAAAGAAACACATCTTGACAGGATATTCCTGTTTTCTCAAGCTTTTTGATGGCCTCCCAGTAACACAAATGACAT